TTCTCTTAGCATAGAACATCCTTCTTTTCACTTAGCCAAATACTATCTGTACTTCTAGTTCTGGTTAATGTCACAATTTCCAACAAAACTTTCATGATGACTCCAAACAAAATGTTCTCTTCCCCTTCTGAGGTTCACAGCCCTTCTTTGAGACACATACAGCCTTATTTTGTGATCATGTTTGTGGTCTCTTTATTATTATTATTTCTTCAGACCAGAATGTTTTCTGATTGTTTCCATGCTTATAAACTTCCAGAAGGAAGGAATCATAGCTTCGTGTATCATTGCAAACATGTTGCTCTCACTACATAGCTGGCACAGTTTTAAGCACTTTACGTGTAACAACTCCTTTAATCTTCACAACAGTCCCGTGACATAGCTATCATTATTATCTCTATTTAACAGAAGAAGGATACTTGTAGGACTCACAGAAGTTGAGTGATTTGCCCAATATCACACAGGTAGTAACCCCAAGTCCTTGTTTGTTATTGTTGTCGTTTAGAGATACGGTCTCACTCTGTCGATCAAGCAGGAGTGAAGCGAAGTGGCCCGATTCTATAATTGGGCAGCCTCTCTCACTGCAGCCTCCTCAAACTCCTGGGCTCAAGTGATCCTCCCATCTCAGTGTCAGCCTTCATGCCAGCTTTTTTTAAAATTTTTTAGTAGAAATGGGATTTTGCTATGTTGCCTAGGCTGGTCTCAAACTCCTGAACTCAAGTGATCCTCCCACCTCAACCTCCCAAAGTGCTGGGATTACAGGCATGAGTCATTGCCTGGCCCCAAGTCCTTGTTCTTAACCATTATACTATTATATGGTTATATAATACTACCACCTTCTGTTAATACTTTTTATCTTTGCAAAACCTGGGCTCCAACCCCTTATGCCAATGTTTTTCTAAGTGTGGCCTTAGGAATTCACCTCCCTGCTTGCTTGTTAGCAATGCAGATTCCTGGCCCAGACCTAGGGTGGGCAGATCCTTAAGACACATTCAGATTTGAGAATTACTATCTTAACAAGACAGGCATTAATGACTAAATGGAGTCAGTTGACTCTAGCTCAGTGTAAAGGCACCGTGACGCCCAGTAAGGAAAAGTAGAGGGTTTGTATGTGCAATGGTTTTGCTAATGCACAATCTCTGCTGGCCACGGGCTGTGGATGCTGTAAACCAGTCTGAAGCTCCAGTCTTTGCCCTCCCTCCTCCTCTGCTTATCACAAGCTCCCCAAACCTGGCTATTCCTTTCTTAATAATTAACCACCTCTTGAAGCATCAATATGTGCACTCTGAGAAGTTTTCTTATTTTACCAATTCCTTCTATCACCTTTCAAATACGACTAATCTGTATTCCAAGTGTGGCTAGTTAACATGGTTTAAATAATACTAATCATTTACTGAGCACTTACTATTGCTCTGATGACCCAATGAAGCACATGCTACTATTTCTACCTATTTTATAGATAAGAAAACGAGGGTTAGGAGAGGTTAATAACTTGCCCAAGGTCAAGAAAATGCAGGGCCAAGATTTGGAACTGAGACCTGTTGGGTGTGGGTGACCACTTAATCATACTGCATCCCACAAGTTTAAAGGCAATCCATTATTTACTGAGCACCTACTGGACCCCTGGTACTGAGCCTAATCATTTAATAACACACCTCATTAGAGACTTCCTTTTTAAAATATTTACAGTTCCTTGCCAAGAGAATGGTAACATTAATACAGTTGCTCCCTTTGGCTGGAGTGTAAATAAACAGACATTAACAAAAGCCGCCCACTGGGCTTACGGTAGAAATGCCTACACACCAATCAACAGAACTCTAGCTGACATATTTAGACACCTCCTCCTTCCCCCACTTCCCAGTCACCCGGTCATCCGTCATCTCCCAGCTGGTTATCTTATCCTTAAAAAGGAACCTCTCTCACACTCCCTCCCATCACTTATCACAGATCAAAAAGCCATCCCCATCCTCTTTTTCCCCTTTTAAAGTTAATATATTGGAATATCCTGACCTCGGGAGCACTGTAGACAAATTCAGCACATCTAAGATAGTTCAACCTGTCTCAGTTCCCCAAAATAACTGCCAACAGAAGCAGAAGTTAAACATACACTTTAGCCTTTTATTGTCTGACAGAGACGATGTCCTCCTCTCTTTGCACCAAGTGTAGCTTCTGGGTCACCCCATATCGTCTACATTCTGAGTTGGGAGTGTGATCCCTTAGGTGCATTATTCAGAGGCAAACCTAATTTGTAGAAATTGTCTTCTGAAATCCAGGAATAAACTCCTGGCTATTTTCAGACAAAGATAGAGGTAGGAGTCTGTAGAAATGAGCTAGGAAGGAGCTTAAAATACTTCGCATTCCAGAAACACCCTCCCTTCCCCCAGGAGATGGCTTTATTCCCACTTCTTTCTCAGCAGAGTTGACTCAAAAAGAGCTGAAGCTTGAAATCAGGCAGCTGGTACTAGCTGTGTGGGCTTAGACAAATGACTTCAATGTCTCTGATCTTCAGTTGGCTTATCTGTGAAATAGGGCTGACAGCACCCTGCTCTCCAGGTTATTGTAAGAATTAAGATAAGCAAAGCTACTAACATTCATGCCTGTACCCATGGGTCCATACTATTGTACTAAGTGCTTTCAAAATTTTTTACTGAATTATTTCAAGGTCCAGTAAAGGGAGGTATGTCCTACAAACCAGACTCTTGACTAGTGGCCTCAAAAAAGGAAGATAAATACACTGGGAGTTTTAAGAAAAGAGTTCCAATAATCTATGTCTGTTTTACCAAACAGCTTCTTAGGTTCTGAGTTTGTTACCTTTGTGCAGTGGGGGACAAGTGGAAAAAGCTTACCTGATAGGAAACTGGGCTTGATCCTGATTTTGCTATGTGATTTTGAGCAAGAAAACTCTCTGGGCTCCAGTACCATCAAGCAGATATTGCTTACTTACCAGGTTGGAAGGTCACAAGAGGGTAATTTTGTAAATCTGAGGAATTAAGAGGAACCTTTTGACCCTACTGAGGCTCCATAAGAATCCATGTGGGCAATACTAACCCAAGTCCTATCTGTAAGGAGGAGTTAGTGGAGGCAAAGCCAAAGCTGCCTTCTTTCACCATGATGCTCACAGCCACCCTGAACAGCAACTGTTTTCTTTTCAGCCCCAGAGCGGGCTTTTTTTCAGCAAGACTATCCCACCCAGCACACATATGCCTCAGAGTTGCTGGTGGGACATTTGCTCCGTTTCATCCCAATAAGTGGCAGGCACAGTAGCCCCAAAGAGAGGGAGTTCCAACAAGCAGTTAAGTGATGGAATTCCGTGTTTACCTACTCCATATACTCCGTGTTAACCAACAAGCTGATCATCATAACGTAGTGGCTAAGACCTCTTGCTCTGGAATAGGCAGAGCTGGTTTCAAATCACAACTTACAAGCTTGTGAATTTGCATAGCTTTGTTTACTCTTAGAACCTCAGTTTCCTCATCTGTAGCCCTGACACATGGTTGATATGGCAAAGTGTTCAGACGTAAGCAGTGCCTTATGAGGAACAGCTATTATTGAATTCCTCTCTTGCATTTACAGCAAGTTTATGAGAACTATGGGAGAGAAATGAAGCTTAAACTTTCTTTCATTAATTAAGGGAAGAACTTTTTTTTTTTTTTGAGACAGGGTCTGACTCTGTTACCCAGGCTGGAGTGCAGTGGTGTGATCTAGGCTCACTGCAACTTCTGCCTCCCGGGCTCAAGCCATCCTCCCACCTCAGCCTCCTGAGTGGTTGGGACTACAGGCATGTGCCACCATGCATGGATAATGTTTGTATTTTTTGTGGACATGGGTTTTGCCATGTTGCCCAGGCTGGCCTTGAACTCCTGAGCTCAAGCAGTCTGCCTACCTTGGCCTCCCAAAGTGCTGGGATTACAGGCGTGAGCCACTGCACCCAGCCAGGAAAAAGAATTTTAAAACTATCTTTCTATAAGAAAAAAGTATATTGCAACACAAATTCTCAGAAAAAAATTTAAAAGACATCTTGCAGAAGGTCATCATACCACTAAGATAAGAATAATACCATCCTAAAGAGTATAAGGCTTTACAGTTTAGAAAGCAGTTTAAAGTCTACCACTTCATTTAATACCTGCAAAAACCCAGTGAAGTAGCATTTATCCCCATTTTACTGATAAGGAAACTAGGACTCAGAAAGATAACGCTAAAGGCCGCAGAAGTGGTGGAGCCAGGATTTCAAGCCTTCTAAAGTACAAATTCAGCACTCTTTGCAATTCACAAGAGAATTCTGTGTTCACTGAGTACTGAGCCTACATTGTTTCGACATGTCTGAAATGGCATTTCAGGAACCCAGAGTGGAATGACCAGGTTAGCAACATGGTTAGGGAAAGGCAGTCCTCTGGATCACTTGTGGCTACGCTGACATAGTTTTCCATGGTTCAGGAGGACTCAGGTGGCATAAGCTGCCCCCACTCTGACATGTTTGAGAAATCTTTTATTAGAAGATGTCCCAGAAGGCAACATTTTAAAATCAGGCAATCAGTAATCACAACTAAATACAAAATTTCAGGTGAACTTGACTTTCAAAATAAATCAGACCCTTGCAACAGGAGAATTGCCCAAGAGTTTTTTTCTTGTACAAAAACAGTTAACACCACTTTGCAAAAGGCATACAAAAATACAATATAAAAAAAAAAAAAAGACTCCCCCCAGCATGATACCCAACAGCAGCTTATAAAACACAAGCTATTCAGGTGAGACATCAGTAACCTACACCCAAACTGTCCTCCATAGACAGTTCCAAAGTCAGCTGGCTTTTGTAAACCATGTTCCAGAAGGTTAGAGAGGCTATTTCCAAACATCCCCTGGGGTCCTTTGAGGCCAAGAAGCAACCTCAGAAAGAAACCATTACGGACAATAGATTTGGAAGTAGCAGCTGGTTTTCCAGAGCCACATATAGTACTTACCACCCCTTACCCACCCCAACTCCCAAACCCAGAGCCAGGAGGCACCTGCTATCCTGGGCAGAGTTCTGGACGGGCTGCTGGTCCTTCTTCCAAGACAGGCCTAGAGATGCCTGTGGTCACCCACATGACAACTGCTAGGTTGGGTGACTTTCTCAGACTGGAGGCTGCACCTGGATTCCACTTGGAGCTGCAAAGTCCAGCTGAGGCAACCATGATGGATTCATTATGGTTGGCTAAGCATATCTCCTGGGGGCTCCTTTAAAACCCACCAGAGGCAAGTCCACCTTCTGGAGCACTGGATCCAGAATGGCTCTCCCCAAAACTTCAGAACGGCCCAGATTCTGGGAAAGAGATCTCATTCAGGGCAGGCTGGCTGGGGCCCAAGGGTGGCTGCAGAGCCAGCAAGTTCCTTGGAGTTGCACAAGAAGGACAGATTTGCATGGTTTCGGAACTTCAAACTTGCCGGTCAATGACTGAAATGAGAAGCAGGTGAGAAGAGAAAGCAGTACAGTTCTCCCTCTGAGGTGTCTTATGCCTGCCTTGAGAAAAGATTGGGCCTCAAGTGCCCCTCTGAAAACACGTGGGCAGGGATCAAGTTCACGAGCCAGGACTCCAAGCTTTCCCCAAGCCCCAGGCTAGGACCCATTTCCCTATGTCTTGGGGAAATATTTCTGACCTGTGGGAAAGGGTGCTGTAGAGCCCATTGCATAACAAAGGCATAATGAAACAAAAAATCCCTTGTGAGGAAAGAAAGTCCCTCCCTCAGAGGAGAGGGCCCAGAGGGCTCTGACTCAAAGAATCTAGAGGCCAAGCTCTTTAAATGTTCCCAGGGTCTCAGCATTTAGAGTGGGAGGAAAGGGGTCAGCTAACATCATTATATATATATATTAAAGGTTTCCAACTCCTTGGCTACTGTAAAGTGTCTGACAGTGAGGTAATGGTCCATGTTAATCAAGTCTGCGAGCTTCTCGTCACCTAAGACAGCTCAAGTGTCTTCTGGAAAAAGGAGCCTCAGGGAGAGTATCCAGGCCCAGCTGTCCTTGCGTCACCCCAGAGACACCAGTTGGGAGCATCCTTTCCTAGCCTAAAGCTCATGCAGAGTGTGAGATTTCATGCAGGCTGGAGCCCCTGACAACATCCACCACCTGTTGCATAGCATCTGTCAGCCTTTTCTTCAGAGCTAGTGAGCTAGGCAGACCCCAAGGCTCCTCAGTCAGCTGCCTGCTGGGAAGCCAAAGGCGCCAGAGAACATACAGCACTCCCATGAGTCAGGGAAGAGGGAGAGCTGGGTTTCAAGGTTTCCAAGAATGCAAGCCTTTATTGTGTGTGCACTGGCTGCAATGCATTCTGGGATCTACTGTCCAGACTGTCTTGCCATAACCAAAATGTGCAAATTACTAAAGGGGACAGGGAGGTTAAAAAATAAACTTGTGTCTTTGTAGGACAGAACAATGAGGCTTTTTGGTCAGTTAGTAGCCACTGAGGTATGCAATTCTCTTCTGCAATTGCTGCTGCCGGCATCGGAGTTGCCTTTTCTCTGTAGCCATCCTCTTCTCAGCCCCCACAAGGGCCTGCAAGTATTCCAAGGCCTTGCTTAGGATCACTACTTTAGGGGCCTTAGAGCAGCTGGCCAGGGTGGGCACCTGGTCCCTCAGGGCCAAGAACCGTGAACGCAGGTCATTCCGCCTCTTGCGCTCCAGGAAGTTGTGGTTCTTCCTCTTGGTCACATCCTCAGTATCAGAACTGACAGGTTTGGGGTGGCAGGACTGGGTAGCCTCACTTTCTACAGGTGGGGGGCTCACAATCTCTTCATCCTCCTCATCTTCCTTTTCCCCAAGAGGAGCATCTCTCTCCAGAGCCTCCTCTTGGGGACTCCTCTCTGGAGCCTCTTCTTGGGAGCAGCTTTCTGGAGGAAAACGGGCAGCATAGTTGTGCTGTTGCTGATGGATGGAGATGTGGAAGTGCTTCATGCAGGGATCCAGAGGGTCTGCTCGCACCGTGATGGTGACCGGCTTCCGAATAGCCAGAGACTGCCTCTTCTCTACTGTCACAATATCGATTTCTTCATTCTCTGTCTCAGAAAAGAGATCAAGAAAAGAAACACATCCCATGAGAAACACAAACATAGACCCTACAGCTTTAGCTGTCTATGTTGGGGCTTGGGAAGGTAGGTGAGATTTTTCCAATTTAGATATAAACAAATCAAGGTGAGCAGAAAGTGGACTCATTTGTAATGGGGTAAGGGGACAGTGAAGGAAAGGAGGGGACATTAGCAAGAAGGAAAATATTCTCCAATTTCCTTTTGCACAGCAAGGCTTAGATAAGAACAAAAGGCAGACCCAAGCCAACAGCCCCCAATCTGCAAAGGCTCTCCCCTCCCCCATGGAGGGGATGGAGAGAAAGAGCTACCGGCCTGGGACAGAGTTTAGCTATAAAGATCTTCCCCAGTCGGGCTCTTTCATGCCCCATCAGAATTGTAAATGAGGGGTCTGTGGGCAGAGCTGCCCTTTGTTCCTGCCCAGCACAGCCTGCACTTGGGGAATTGTTACTTTTCACAAGTTATAAATCCTATTATTCCCCCACCTCTCTATTCTGCCATCCCTTTCAGCTGAAGATTCAGAGAAGGGAGGGCTACACACCATCCCTCTTCACCCACAGAGGGGAAGGAAAGGGTTTCCCTAAGGACATTTTGCTCCTGGGTTCAATGGATTTCTAAAGTCATCCATCATTTATAGGTCGCCTGCCCCACCTCCTTCCCTGGACCAGAAGGTTAGATTTGTAATCATAGGTTGGGAGACTGCAGGAACTTCACAAAGGTACAAGCAACCATTTCCAAACTACCTGCACCAGAGGCAGAGACTGGGCAGCAGAATGTCCCAGATACGGGGCCCAAAACACCAGGGACCTGGAGACACTTGGAAATGCCCTTAATTTAATTCACTGGCTTGAAGGTCTCTTAGGTGCCTAACCAGGAGAGGGGCAATTGGGAGAAAACTCTCCTCCTGCTCCACACGTTTTGCAGCCTCCACGCAGAAGTCCACTTTAATGCATCTCGGCCTGACAAGAGAAGAGCTCCGTTCTCAGCTTCTTTGCATATCAGGAAGCTTGAGCCCCTTTGTCAGGACGGCTTCCATTGTGTGGACAATCGCATTATTTCTCCATTAATAAAACCTGACCATTCAGCCCTCCTGGCCCCAAAGCCCATGATTGGCTGGTTATGCTGGGTTTGGAATGCTGGCTTACCCAGCCCCTAGCCCCTATTGGCTGAGCTCTACTGCCAATCACTTCCCTCACCCCCCCCCCCCACCCCCCGCCTCATTGTTTGCAATCTGTTGCATTTTGTTCCGGGCCATGTGGCCTGTGAGTGAACCAGGGGCTCACAAACAGGTTCAGGTTAAAGGGTAGGTCAGAAAATGATTCAGCAGGCTTCCCTACATCCCAAACCTTTAATTTTCAGTGGTAAGCCTCATGGCTCAGGAAGATTCTATCCAAGGAAGAAATAATTTAAGACACCACTCTCCCTTTCAGAGAGTAGTGTCTCACTCTACCCAGAAAAGGAAATGTCTTCTGCAGAATAATCAAGTCCAACTCCATCGTGTGCAAATGGGGAAACGGAGGCCCAGATAAGCCACGTCCACACATCACCTTTGTAATGTTCTGGATCTCAAACTAAAATGTCCAAACTTCCAAAACAATGCCCTTTCCATTCTACCACTCCACCAGCCGTTGTAGAGATACATCTTTATTGGGTTTTTGAGCTCAAGATTCCCTTTCCAGCCATTAAACAAACAAACTCTTGGTGTAGAAAGCAAGCCGGTTAAAAACAACCTTAATGCAGTGGACCGGAAAATAAAAAGACTTAATTTTTCTTGTTATCCTATTTTTCCTCTCAAGTGTATGACAACTTTCATACCCCATCCCAGTTCCCTATCAAATGGTCATGTAAAAGTTATTCTTAAAGGCTACCGTGAGTTTTCTTGGTCCCGATTTATATGTCACTAGCCTACACTCTACAAAAGTACCCTCTCCAGCACTTCTCATGGGTGCAGAGGTCTAAGATGCTGGAATAAGTACAATGTAGTCTGGTGGCACAGGATGCCCTAGTCTGCCTCAGCTAGGTTTGCACTTGCATCAAGGATGGGAGAGGAGTGCCTGGAGCTCTATGGCCTTGACCCCAGAACCGAGCCCGCAGGTTGCCACAAAGTAGAAGCCAGTGAATATCTGTGGAATGCAAGGGAGCAGCTGAAGCTGGAGCTGTATTGAGAGGGAGCAGGAAGGACACTTTTCCATCTCAGGACAAACAGCAAGGCAAGGTGTAATGCTTCTATGATAAGCTACCACAAAGACCTAAACATCAAGGAAGAGGTGCCTGGTTGGAATGGAGCACTGGGGAAGAAGGACTGGCTAGATGGCAGAAAGCTGGAACTGACTTGTAGCGATTTTCTATCTCTAAGCCTCAGTTTTTCCATCTCTTAATGGGGAATGTTGATTCCTCCCTCCCTGTCTCACCGATGCACAAGTGGTAAGTGGTGGTGGGGAGGCACAGAAGAGGGCATTCATTATTGGCATTTTAAAGTAAAGCCAACTGGAGACCTAGGTTTTTATTAAAAGGATGAAGGCTTTGGCTTTGCACAAAAGGCTCTCGGCTTCTTCTTCCCCTAACGGAGTGTGAGTTTCCCAGGTAGAGGCAGCAGGAAAAAAACTTCAGGTTTGGAGTGACTCTTAAGGGACCCCCTTCCAGACTCCTTAAGACAGAAATCCCTTACAGTCCAACCCCAGTATTGTCCTCTCTAAGCGCCAACCCTCACCACATAACCCTGGTCCCCTGGGGCTCTAATCATCATCAAAAGGACGCTGGCTCCCACGCCACTTCTCCAAATTGTTTACCAACACACCCACGTGCCAGACAGACACTGTTGGGGGATACACGGGCAGCTTCAGCCAAAGAGAGGGAGAGATGGCCCAAGGACTTGAGAAGAGCCAGTGCTTGACCTCAGGCAGGGGCAGAGTTTGGCCACCCATGGGGTGGCCCCCTCTTGGCTGCCTCGGGGAGGTCCTTACCCGAGTCGCTTGGGCTCTCGGACCCGGAGCAGGCCTGGGTCTTGGGTTCGCCCAGGGGACCGGGGGCGGCGGGCGCCGGGCTGCCGGCTTCGAGGCTGGGAGTGCAGTCCGGGGTGGCGGATGTCTTCGGCAGGTTCCCCCGGGGCGCGCCAGCGGCGAGCCGGTCGCTCACCGCTCTCTCCAGCCGCTCTCGGGCCGAGAAGCCACTCCACATGCAGTCACGGCGGATGATGGAGGCGTAGTTCCTGCCCCAACCTTTCGAGTGGCCCCGGGATTCCGCTTCGTCTCCGGCGCACCCTCCCGGCCACGTCTCGGGGTGACCAATCCCGGGGGCCGGGTCCCCTGCGCCGGGACCCAAGCCCCAGGGCGGCGACGTGGGGGGCGATGGCACCAGCTCGAATTTCTTCCAGATGTCCTCGCTGGGCGCCGTGGAGCGGTAGAAATCCTCCCCGCAGTCATAGTCGTAGAAATAGTGCTGGTACGAGTCGTAGTCCATGTCCGTTCCCTGCGGGAGGGAAGGGGGGACGTGCTGACCGGGTGCCGGCCGGGCGAAGGAAGCGTCCCCGGGTCCCTCGGCGCAGCCGGCTGCCAGGCTCTTGTTTCCCCTCAACCCCACTGGCTTGCAGCCTGCGCCTAGTCCTCGCGTCCAGGGAAGCCGGGCCCCGGGTCAGAGTGACCGGGGAAGACGCTCGCAGCGCGCGGACCCGGCTGCGGGCAGCGAGTTCAAAGCAAACTTTGCCAGCGCCGCCCGGAGCGCAGCTCCCAGGGCCCAGCAGGGCCGGACGGGAGCGCGCCGTGCCCAGAAGGCAGCCTGCAGCCAGCCCGCACCGCGGGACCCGCGCCGGTGCCCGGGCCACCCTCAGCCTCACCTCGCTCCCGCCGCCCTCCACCTGGAGCGGTCCGACCGGCTCCCCGCCGGCTCGGGGCAACCCGGCAGCCCGCACACACGCACATGCGCGCCGCTGAGCGCGCGGCCCCCACTCACGAGCGCGCCCCCCGCGCGCGCGTTCCCTCCCTCGCTCGCGCACGGCGGCCCGGACGCTCTCGGGATCGGCGCGGGAGCGCGAGCTGCAGGAGCATTGTTTCCTGAGCCTTATATCTCGTCGCGCGCCCGGGACTCGGGGACTGGGGGGGCGGGCCCTATGGGACAAACCCCGCCCCCTCCTTGCCCGCTCCGGGCAGTCGACAGGTGGGGCCGGCCCCACCTCCTGGCAAGGCTCGCCCGCTCCGTTCAATTACCAGTAGGCCCCCAAATAAATTGCACGCTGGGGAGCGCAAACAGGAGGCGGATTGATGCGGCCGAGTGGCAGCCTGGTGGAGGCGTGACTCTAGCGAGGCGCTGGCGGTCCCAGCCAGCTGAGCTAAACCTTGCTCCTTGCCCACTCGGAGCTGGCGAATTAGGGCTACTCCCCGCCCCACCCTGCACTCCTACTTTCCCTGGCGCGCCCCGCTGGGTTCAGGTGCGCCCGAGCCGCCGCGGGGGAGGAGGAGGGAAATGCGCCACCTGGCGGCCCTCAGCTTTGAACTTGGGTTGGCCCCGGCGTCCTCCTGGTCACCCGTTGGCCCATTTCTTACGCTGGGTGGCCCAAGCCTGGACGGCAGCGAAGTAAAGCGAAGATTCTGGGCTTTAGATAAGCCTGAATCGAAACCTTTCTGAGTCTCAGTTTCATCTGTAAAATGAAAGAATGAGAATGCTTACCTCACAGGGTTGTGAGGATTTAGGGAAACAGAGCATCTAGGGAAGGGGCCCGGGCCGGGAGGAGAGGCAGAGGGAGCTGGCTTAGGCCCCTGGGCTGGGGGCGGGGGGGGGGGGCAGGAGCAGAAGTGAGGAGGAGTTTTTCCCAGGGCAAAGCCAGGGCTGAGACCTGCCGCCCTCCCTCTCTTCTCACACAAAACACTGTAGGAGCTGTATAGTAGAGAAAAGAGAATGAGAATTTGGCATCTGGAAAATACTGCAGGACCAAGTCATTTCGAGTTTTGCCCTGCATCGCTGGCCAAGATGATAGATAACCCCTTTGTATCATTTTCTTTTTAAATTTTTAATATATATTTTTAAGAGACAGGGTTTCACTCATCGTTGAGGCTGGAGTGCAGTGGCTGGATCATGACTCACTGCAGCCTCGAACTCTTGGGTTCAAGCGATCCTCCCTCCTTGGCCTCCCCAAGTGCAGGGATTACAGGCATGAGCCACTGTTCTGGGTCCCCGTTTGTGTCATCTTCTACGCAGTCTGAGATTTAGGACAGAGGAGAGTAACTTGGGATAGCAGCCAATACATCTAGATTCCTCCACCTGGCATCAAGGTCTGGTGTCTGTCTACCTCAGCCTGACTACCTGCTGTCTCTCTCTTTCCCTCACACCCCTGTGGTGTAAGAACACCAAACTACTCACTGTTGGCAGACAGAAGTGAGAAGGGCAAGCAGTTCAGTGTGGTTGGAGCATGGGACACGGATGTGAGTTGTTATATAGGTTGGGAGAGAGGGCAGGGAAAAAGTCAGCCTTCCATTTTAAATATGTTGGGTCTGGGCTGCATGTGGGACATTCTTGCAGGCAGAAACCTGCTCCTACTTGCTTTGTGATTTCTGCACCTAGAATAGCTTCTGGCAGATATTTGTGAACTAATTGACTTACTGAGGGACTCAGCCAACCAGATTTCATTGAGGCAGTTTGTGTGCCCTGCTTTGTGCTAAAGGGAAGCCACAGATCAGAAGGGTTCCAGGTTTGATTGCAGCCCCGAGGCACAGGCATTGGACCGCCTTTTGGTGACTTTTCTCTAGTTGTCAGATGTCTAAGGTGGTTGCTGTACTAGTCTGGGTTATTGGTTACAAATAACAGAAACCAAGCTTAGACAAATGTAAGCAGAAAATGAGTTTATTGGAAGAACTGGTGGTATAGACCTCATAGGAGGCTGGGAATTTATGTTTGGAGAATGGGCCTTCTTTACCTAGACTAGAGCCCCTACCCTGCAGCTCCTCCCATGGTTTCATTGGAGAGAATATCTGCGGGTAACCAGGAGATGCTGCCCTTCCTCAAAAAGTAGGAAAAAGGAAATTAGGTTGTCTTCTGAGAGTTAGGCTGCTTCTTCACTTTGCATATTTTGTTTGTTTAATGTCTTCGTCATCAGACTGTAAACTCAATGAGGGCAGACAAATGTCAGCCTTATTCACTGCTGTACCCAGGGCTTTAGAACAGAGCCTGGCACATCATGGGTGCTAAGTATGTGACCGAACACAAAACTCTAATGCTTTCGTTTTTGCATTTTTTTGTTTGTTTGTTTGTTTTTTAAGACAAAGTCTCGCTCTTACTCTGTTGCCCAGGCTGGAGGGCAGTGGCACAATCTTGGCTCACTGCAACCTCTGCCTTCTTGCCTCAGCATCCCAAGTAGCTGGGATTACAGGCACCTGCCACCATGCTTAGCTAATTTTTTGTATTTTTAGTAGAGATGGGGTTTTACCATGTTGTCCAGGCTGGTCTCAAACTCCTGACCTCAAGTTATCTATCCACCTTGGCCTACCTATTTTGTTGTTGTTGTTTTTTTGAGACAGGGTCTCACTCTGTTGCCCAGACTGGAATGCAGTGGTGCAGTCATGGCTCACTGCAGCCTTGACTTCCTGGGCTCCAGGGATCCTTCCATGTGAGCCTCCTGAGTAGCTGGGACCAATGGAGGCAGGCGTCACCATATCCAGCTAATTTTTTGTAGAGATGGGGTCTCAAACTCCTGGGCCCAAGTGATCCTCCTGCCTTGGCTTCTCAAAGTGCTGGAATTACAGATGTGAGCCACCACACCCCACCTCTAATGCTTTAAGGTAGAGATATGTCAATTGTATTAGTCTGTTTTCACACTGCTATAAAGAAATACATGAGACTGGGTAATTTATAAACAACAGAGGTTTAATTGACTCGTAGTTCCACATGCCTGGGAAGGCCTCAGGAAACTTACAATCATGGCAGAAAGGGAAGGAGAAGCAAACAACTTCTTCACAAGGCAACAGGAAACTGTGTGAGTGTAGGAAAAACTGCCATTTATAAAACCATCGGGTCTCATGAGAATTCACTCACCATCACAAGAACAGCATAGGGGAAACTGCCCCCATGATCCAATCACCTCCTACCAGGTTTCTCCCTGGACATGTGGGGATTACACTTTGAAACAAGATTTGGGTGGGTACACAGAACCAACCTATACCTTACAGAGACAGAATACATCTCAGGCCCAGTCTAGACTACAATCTGGTTAAAAGTATTAATACAGCTAAAGAAAGAGGGTGCCAGTCAGGAGGGTCTGGGCAGCCAAGAAAGCCAGAGATCAAGGAGAGTTGCCAAGACAATCACCAGCAGTGTCCATTCTCTGGGGACAAAGATACTGTTCCAGGAACAGGGGAGATGGAAATAACATTCTTTGAAGCCACCCAGTTCACCCCTACCTCACTCATGCTCTGGTTCACCAAGCAACCCTCTAAAAACCATTCTGTTTCCTATGTAGATCAGTCCATAGGGAGAGAATGCACTCATCATTGAAGAGAAAGATCCAGTCTGCTTCAAAGCCCTGCTTCCTCTTATAAATTAATGAATTGGCATCTGATTTGAAATATCAGTCTCATGAGCCTGGTTAATGTGTGTCTGTTCTGTAGAGATGCTGCTACTTTTAGGGCAACCAACTCTGGTTTCTAAGCTTGACCCAGAATGGTGATGAATTCACCAAGGTAACAAATGCCACCCCAGGGACCTTCCATTTTTCTGCAATATTCTATTTTCTTTACTTTTTCTAAAACATGTTTTTAATCACAATACATGTAATAATTTAAAAAAAAAATCAACTAGGCATATGGCAAAGTTAAAAAGAAGGCCATCTTCTGTCTTGCCATTGCCTGATTCCCACTCCCCAAAAGCAACTATTGTTTTAACTGTTTTTTTATCCCTTATATTTCTTTCTTTTTTTTTTTTGAGACAGAGTCTTGCTCCGTTGCCCCAGCTGGGAGTGAGTGCAGTGGCTCAATCTTGGCTCACTGCAGCCTCCACTTCCCGGGTTCAAGCGATTTTCCAGTCTCAGCCTCCTGAGTAGCTGGGATTACAGACTTGCATTTTTAGTAGAAACGGGGTTTCACCGTGTTTGTCAGGCTGGCCTCGAATTATTGACCTCGTGATTCATCTGCCTCGGCCTCCCAAAGTGCTGGGATTATAGGTGTGAGTCACTGCACCCAGCCTTTTTTTTTTTTTTTTTTAGTTAGGGATTCCATGTGTCAATTTAAAAAAAAATTTCTGTTGGCATCCTACAACAGGAGAAGATATGGCTCTTATAAATTTCCCTTCCCATGCCCTTATATTTTGTTTTCCCTTATTCTACCAATAAAATTGTACTTAAATTTTTAAATAAATATTTAATATCCACAGTGTTTTAACTGGATGGTATACTACAATTACATTTTTTTTCTTTTTTTTTCGAGATGGAGTCTCATCTGTCGCCTAGGCTGGAGTGCAGTGATTTGATCTTGGCTCACTGCAATTTCTGCCTTCCAAGTTCAAGTGATTCTCCTACCTCAGCCTGCCAAGTAGCTGGGACTACAGGTATGTGCCACCATGGCTGGCTAATTTTTGTATTTTTAGTAGAGATGGGGTTTCACCATGTTGGCCAGGCTGGTCTCAAACTCCTGACTTCAGGTGATCTGCCTGCCTTGGCCTCACAGAGTGCTGGGATTAAGTCATATGAGCCACTGTCTCCAGCCCTTTTTCTTTTCTTTTCTTTTTTAATTGCCCCTTGCAGAGTAGGGAGCTTTCCCTCACATAGGCAAAGCTCCCAAAGCCAGCCTAAATTTCCTTTCTTTTCTTTTTCTTTTTTTGAGACGGGGTCTCTGTTGCCCAAGCTTGAGTGTAGTGGCACCATTTTGGCTCACTGTAGCCACAACCTGCTGGGCTCAAGTGATCCTCTCACCTCAGCCTCCCTAGTAGCTAGGACAGC